GTTGCTTGTTCGATCCCGCTTTGAGCTCACCAAGCCTGTCATCCTCTCATGTCGAGAAATTGGTACCGCACTTCGAGAAACAAAAGCCACTCTCTGAGATGCAGCTGAAAACATTTAACCCCGATATCTCAGGACTCCAATGAGAATCATTTTGACCAGTATTCTACGACATCCAATATGAAATTAAAATCCTCGAGCAACATCTGAAGCCACTCGTAAAAGTTTGAAATCTTGGCGATTGATGGATGGGAGAAAACGAATCGAATACGAGAAGTGCTAGGATCCGCACAGTAAATGTGAGAGGCAAATCGTACAAAAAATAAATAAAATATAGGCTATAAAATTGCTTAAGAATTTGTACAAGACTTTCATTCCACGTGAGATGTCTAATGCACAAAGAAATTGGTTATTTCAGCATCAACCACCACGCATTAAAGAGTCAGTGGGAAAGAAACAATAAAAAAAACAGTTGAAAAACTTTTGCTGGTAATATATGTGATATACGGTCGACTTCATTCTTCACTTGATACTACGTAATCATGACGGTGTGCTCGTGCGCAATGGTTAGCGCTGCATTGCATTAGTGGGTTCGATCCCGCGCTCCAGTGTCACCAAGTTTTCCATCGTTCCAGGGTCGGCATATAGGTGCCAAACCTTTTTCCGAGGTTAACACACTGATTTGGCAAATCGAGAGGTCGCCGAAAGTCGGGGTTAGATATGCATTAACTCACCTCCAACGCTGCTTAATGAAGTCATGGCACATCCCTCTGGGATTGATCAACGCCGAGAACTTTATCCTTTAACCTTTCACCTATAGCAATTAAAGACCGTGGGTGTTTTATTTTCAAAAAATTATGATTATTTCATTACCTTTTACTTTGCTATTTATTTACTGTACATATTATTCGTTGTACTAATGCACGAATGTGCACTCATTAATATTAATTTCAAAAGTGTAAAACAGGCGTTAGCCAACATTCCGATAATTGAGGACATTTCATTTGCACCATACACCAGCTAGCCACTGATCCCTTAAAGCTGACTATCATTGAGGAAATTTTCTAACGGAGACTTAGAATTCCAGTATCCCTTTGACTTTATACATTTACTTATTATCATTTTATCCTCAAACATATGAATCTTCATAAGCGAGATAATCCCAACCGAATGAAGCTAACCAACGAGTGCTCATCTCCAGGTGACGAATAGAGGGTCAGATGCAGCAAATAAAACCATCTTGTCTTTTTACAGAGATTTTCTGTGTAATTTTAGAAGATGAGACACTAATATTTACGCATGTTTACATGCATCACATTGTAATTTACTTATTTTGTAGGTTACTTATTTATTTTTCCAATTTTTGCCTCACTATCCGTGATTTCCCATCAGAATTCACATCTAGCACATGGAAACCTTAATGATTTTATTTCATAAAATTTGAAGGGTCAGCTTTCATTCATGGAGAACAAGTGCTTGCCCGGTGATCATCGTAAGGATATTTTAAGTGACTTCCTATTGCAGAAGCTTGAAATCCCCAGTTACCTAGTCGGAAAATTTGACAGAAGCACTACTAGTTTTTTGTTTCTTGCTTATTTTTCGAACTGGTACTTTTTTGAATACTAAACTAGTAATGCACATTATTTTTCGTTGAAGTGACCGGCGTAATACATCCTTCATCCTTCATACATCCATCCTTCTTTCCTCATTCTCATCGTCCTTTAATACGCTATTTTTCTTTCTATAGATCTCTTTGACTTCGTTCCTTACACTATCCACCCAGTTTTGTTACTGTTCCCCCTATTCTTCTTCTCATTCGTTCAGTGCTCTCTAGTGCTTCTTTTCTTCGCTTAGAGTTTTATTAGCTCTTTCGGGTTCCATTCGCTAATGGTGGCAGACTCGACGAGCGTCCATAAATATGTAGTATGTTATTGGCCTACACGCACTACTCAAGGAATATTTTCGATGTAAACTCACGACTTTAGAGAGAATTAGTAAATTTTTTTTGCTATATTTACACATGGAGCGCGTGTGGCGCTGTGGTGGTAGGAGGCGCCCTTCAATACACATGGTATCGATGCCCATGCCCCAGGCTTAACAAGCCTACCATTCCTCCGGTGTCTGAAAAATGGTACCATACTTCTCTGGGAAGATAGCAGCACTGGCTCGATATGTCGTTAGGCTACCGCGATTGTAAAACCAGATATGCGTTCAATTACCTCCAATGATACTTAATGAAGTCGAATGCATGGTGCATTCCTTAAAGATTGATCAATGTCGAAAGGTTTATCCTTTTTCTATCTACATATTGAGAAGTCGGTTATATAATCGAATGAATTGTTACTGTCATCCGGAAAAGCTAGTTTAGATACAGTAAACTTCATGTGGTCCTCTTACTTTTGTAATTATGACTTAAGAATGCTCTTACGTGACTATCTCGAGATCCCAGAGATAAACACATGGTTATCATTCAGTGAGGAGAGAAAACGGATGACAATTGCAAGGCAATTGAGTAAACCGAAATGTTGGGACCAGCATAATATACTGTGACTGGTCATTTACGCGTCTAAACAACTAAGCGTAAAATGAAACAAGGAAGTGTCAAGGCAACCTAATTGTTACCTTCGTTTTCAATTAATCACCGAGCAACGCCCGACTTTCAACATTTCGGAATGTGTAAACTGGCATATCGTGTCGAATATACTTACATTTTGTCACTTTTCGTATTTTCTCCTGACAACAGATGTTAGGATGCTCTCCGGATTCGTGTTCGCTTTCGGAGTCGGTTTCGGGTTCGGCTCAACCTAGGTGAACGTCCACTTTGTAAGAAAATGTTCTCGGTTCTCTCTACCATAACGCCACGCTAAAATTCATTCATTCAGATCGTGAGAAAAAGTTCATATTCATGACAAAGAGCATGCCATTTTGGAATTGTTGCATTTTAATATCCACTTAAAATATCTTTTAAAACGTATTTTGCCTTGTCCATATAGAGATAAAGACGAACGTTTCCGCATACAATACGTAAGATTAAAGACGAAAGGCAAATTGTTCGGCGTTGATCAATCCAGGAGGGATGCTCCGTCCATTTCGTTTCATCAAAAATTGCAAGAGGTGACCGAGTGCACACCTTGTCCATACCATGAGTTATTGTTTCATACTGATACAACAAGTCAGCTCTGTTATCCTCCTACAGAAGTCTGATTCCAATTTAACTACCTCGAAAATAGCAAGTTTTGTGGATTCGAGGCTCAAAATAGAGCTCAGCATCTCCAACTACTGCGCCATATTCACAATACGGAGTAAGTAACCGTTTGAAATCAGCTTTTGATTTGTGTGCTTTCGTGCTGGCGACATTATGTGCTCTCACTAAAATGTAATACCGTCACCTTGTTGCACTATATCACTCACTTTTCCTTATGTTTGTGTTCTTCTTTGTATGACCGGCTCGAAACATAATGCTTCTTGATAAGTACATTTAATTTCACGGTAACCTGTGTTATTTGAAGAGTTGGGAACATGATGCCTCTTTTCACTCTATTCAAAATTTGAATTTCTCAAATGTTCAAAGTGGAGTTTGTATTTTTAAAAGTGGTAACCTTGGCACTGCAGTCATAAATATCAAGACGCGGCTAGGGAATTACCCTTGTTCTGTGAAATATCCAACAAACCCCGACGAAGAAAAACGAAAAAAGAATACGTTTTTTGTAATTCGAAAAAGTAGTATTTCTTTTGTTATGGATTGCAAAAACTTGAATTCTATTGAGACATCTAACTCTCTGTGCACTTCAATGGTTTTTACATTGATTGAAAGTGTTCAATTTGAGCTCAGATGTTTGTTTGAGGTTGAAAGGCGCAACAATTCCCAACCGCATGTGATCACAACCAGTGCAGCTCGTCCATTATCGTGCTTAATAAATGATGATTTAAACTGATACTGTAGCACATGTTCTTCATGTGATTCATGCTTATACCGTGTTCTCCTCGTGTTCATCAATATAACAGTCTTTTTGTTTCCATCACAACATGTGTTGTTTTGGTTAACCAGACAAGTGCTTCGAGAACTCTGTGACATACTTGATTTGACATATTTCCCAAGAGCGAGTTATGACAGATATGAGAATCGCGCTTCTGTCTATAAAATTATTTCCCCGTTTACTCTTCTATTTATACTTTTTACATCGCACAGCTTCACATGTGCTGATCCCAACACTTCTTTCATTCCGTTCGCTGTCTCACATCCACCATATGCGAAGGTTCTCGGTTCTGTATATGGAAGTGATTTGCCCCACATGAGAACTTTGTCTTCCTCACGAATATCATTGAATTCTAGTCGAGTCGATTTTTCGCGGAAATTTGAGGTAGCTCTACTAAACAGTTTCTAGGCTTCACAAAAGACAACGGCCGGTACTTACGGACCAACGAGAGATTTTCTGGGCAACTTGAAGACCCGAGAGAGATGGCAAACTTGGTTTGTCCAAGGCTCAGAATCGAACTAGCGAAAACGTGCATGTTGCAAGCCGTGCTTAACCGCTGTAATTTCGCACCATCTGCACAGAATTAAATAAAATTCTTTCTGGGAAATGAACTCTAAGACACTAGTACAAAAAATTAATGGAAACGCAAGCATTTCCTCGGAAATTTTTCCAATTCCAAGGCGTTCAGTAAGTGTCCTCCGAAGTGCTTTTATTGTTTTGATAACTGGTTACTTTGTCGTTCGCAATAATGCTGGAATACCAATCGTTCTTGTTAAAAACACTGACTTCAACTTGTGAACTTCGTCTCCCTTAGTTTCATATCTTAGCGGTTGTTGTGTGCAGTCGTTTTGCATGTTCCGAAGCTTTTATATCAGCGTTTAACATCAGCATTACAATTTCTCCCAGTTCCATTTTCTTATCCTTGTTATTTTTTTTCTTATTTTTTGAACAAGATCGCCCTTATTTCAGGATTGCCAGAGCTGCTTTCATCTTGTGATCGCTGCAAGAAATATGCAATGAGTGTTCATGGAAATCCGGTGTTGTTTGTGTCTTGAAGGTACACGAATAATTCTTGAAGATGAACCGGGTAGGCAACCGGACAGCAGCTACAAATGCTTACAAGGCACAGTACATGTGAAGGTTAGCGAAATTCTTTTAATTCAACAACTTGCACCACCAATCAAACACTGAACATGTAGGAATTATTTCCTGTCGCGGTATTTCCGTACCTTCGCCTTGCTACGATTAGGAATAAATGATCGGTTAATGATTTTTTTCTGCAAAAATAAAAAGTAAGATTATGGCATTTTAAATTGCCTAATGCGAAATTTCCTTGGTCTGACTAAACAGTAGAAATAAAGCTAGCGAGTTCCAGCTCGTTACATCGTCTGTGTGAGCCCGAATTGTGAGGCAGCAAATATACGTTAGTCCAAAAATTTCGTTTGCTTCCTGTGGCAAAAATGATGTCATCCAAGCAAGGTTTCCTCGTAATTCCAGGATAAAGTACGCTCAACAGTGGTAAAATTGTTTAATATGTCAATGAAGCGAAGTGGTGGCAGAACCGTAAGGCGCAATTGAACTTATAGACATTTAGGGCTGCACAGTAATAACGAAAAACCCTGTTAGAATTAGTTCATTTTCTATTTAATATTTGCCATTTTGCAACTTGTTTTATGCGAGATTGGCGACAATCTCCTGTCAGCGATCTTCTATTTAAAAATGAGTTACCGAAAGAGAAGGGGTAGCGCAGAGTTAGTGATGTAAGGTGCTGGTTCCACCACCTAGCCAGCGTTCCTCCTCTTGTCTGCTCGGAAACTATCGGCTATCTCCAACATTGCAAGGAGAGCCGACTCGACCAGCATTCTCCTGTGCGCGAAATTTTCAAGCAGCAGCTGAAACAGCAAGGGAAATGCTTGAAGATCATTGCAGACGATGAAAGCGAGGAAAATGAATCGAATGAAAGGAGTGCTGGGATTCGCACGGTAGAGAACATAAAATGTTTTTTTACATGACCCGTCATCGCATCTATTGCTCACGTGCTTCATGTATAGATGTAAAATTTTTTTATTTTATTTGTTTTATTTTACATGACCCATCTTCACGTCTACTTTGCGGATTCCTGCATTTCTTACATTTGAATCGTTTCCTCGCAACCGTTATGCACGAAAATCCTCTAACTTTTACGTGTGGTTTCGGCAACTTCTTAAGGATTTTCATTTCATCTTGAATGTCGTGTAATGTTGGTCGGGTCGATTTTCTCTGGAGTCCTGAGATAACCGGGCTGGAATGTCCCCGATTGGATGGCAGAGAGCGATTTTTTCCCGGACAAGTACTGTACTAATTTACCTACCCCGGAAGGATAGGCTTGGTTGGCCCGAGGGGGAATCGAGCAAGCACGATGCTCGTGATGACCGACATCACTACCGCTGTGCTATCCGCCGCGTATGTAAAATAGTATAATGAAAAGATGTAAGTGGACGTAGACATTAATTCCAACAGCGTAACTTCTGCTCTTGTTGTTGTCAGTGTAGAGTACATCTATTGTTGGAGCAAACAGCTTTGCACTTTCATTGTACATTGTGGTTTCCTACTTTCCGTTCTTCTTCTTTTTTTCTTCTTTAAAAAAGTCATGTTGTTCATGACACAAATGCTCTCGCAGTGTCGACTAACCATGCAAATGTCATTTGCAAATGGATTATGCTAATCCTATCATTGTTAAAGAGATTTCTTACATCAATTTTGCTTACTAAATTGTTAGAATATTTCTGTTGGAGAAAGCATTCAAGAAAAATTGAACTCCAGTAAAATTTCGATCCCTCCTAGCTCGAAGGTCATGAAAGGCATCACTTCTTTGTTATTTTATTTTTTTTCTTTCTTCTTTATTTTCTCCTTCTTTTTCAATGAAATGAGGCTCACGAGCAATAAGGAGGAAAAATTGTACCCAAACAACCGCCGTCTATGAGGAAATATCTTAGCAAGGCAGCAAAAGAATCCTCTTTTGGTGACGACGACGAGAAAAAATTTTGGCAGAACTACTACAGAAGCTCAAGGAAAGTTCTAGTTATGAGGAAACATCTGTGGACTCGCACTGGTGGCTAAGGCAGGTTACATAACTACCTATATAAGTAGTCGCCGTTCGATTCCATTGCTCGCCAAACTGCCTAGCGCGCTTCCGTCGTTTTCACAGAAACTACATCGTACATGAAACTTTTTATTTTTATGGTTCTCAACTAAAGGATTCTCATACATACAATCAATTAATCTGATGTTGTGAAGTCGTCAAATGGAGACGATGGTTCTAGCTTCTTTTCCAGTTACTTCGTTCTAGTTCTTTGGTAGGATCAGTAGCAAATGAGGGTATTTAATATACATCCAATTACTCTTGTGTATTCTTATGCATAAATACAGTTGCGTATACGTGATAGATACAAGTCAATTTGAAACAAAAAAGAAACATAAAGAAAAGAAGGAGTTAGATCGTATTCTGATTTCATATGCTTCTCAGTGCGAGTACCGATTGCAACTGTAATGTTTTTGGTTTTCTATCAATTATGGAGCCCCATCCGTAAGAACCGCTATGCCTAACCAATTCGAGATATCTGATTGAATGCAGAGGACCTGTGAATTTAACCACAACGATAATCGACTAATTAGTAGACGTAATATTTGCATTTCTTCAAGCGTCCTTAGCAAAAAAAATAAGAAAGTAGAAAAAAATTCGGAATTAATCGACTTGATGGTAAGAATATATAGAGTGTGAAGCTAATTTTAATGAAACTATAAACCATATGAGAGCAAGTCAATAGTGAAAAACGAATGGCTACAAGCCAGTGATCAGTGAAAAAGGGCATCGCCGAGCAAGTATGGCTCATTCGAGACAGTTTCTCCACTGAGGAAGACTCGGCCCGATGCGCGACGAAGACGCCACCTCGAAAACGCGAACATCTGTGGACCATCAACTCGGATTATCGGCTCTGATGAAGACGAAACCGTCGAAACGTTAGGCGAACACAAACACCATTTATCAACCTCGCATAAGCTTGTCAAAGAAAGACTGCATATTCAATGAACGTCATTTTAAGAAGCAAATAAGTGAAGGATTATGGAAAGGATTACTCGTACATATATTAGCAATTGAATCTATGCAATGGGACGTTACTTTTTCAAATTTCTATTCTTCAGCGTGCCTGCTTCTACGTGGCAGTTTCGGCTCTCGTTTTGTGCTTATTTTCGACGGGTTGTATATTTTTTGGTGTGTATTCGGTAAATTTATGGCTGGATATTGCTCTAATCTTGCTGAATGCTGTCGTTGCGATTTTTGTACTTATTGGATTGTACAGTAATAAAGCATCCTTCCTCATTCCATTTATCGTCAGTGAGGTACGGTAGGACTGTATTATAAAAAAATCGTACTTATATCAAGAACGAACTAAACAATCGAAAATTTTTGATATTCAGATCGCCCAGTGCATTGGGTTCTTCATTCTTGCAACCTATACATTATACTATACTATTGTGATAAAACGACAGCGTTTCTATCAGAAGTTTGGTACGTCTTCTTTCTGCGGTCAATATTAGTTCATTTTGAGTACTTTTATGAAAAAATTTATCGCAGTTTTCAATAGTTTGGCGGATAGAACGGCATCTTTGGTTTTTTATCGCTGACGCAGGTGGGAGCGTCGGATTCCTTCCCTTACTTATGTGAAACGGGATACTCCTAGTATAATCCTTTCAAGTGCGCCTTCAATAACGTTGAGTCATCTTTAATCCTGCTTGTGCAGCGGGCAGGTTTCTGACACATACGTTAGGAAAGCAAGAATCGTAAAGGCTGAAACATGAGCACAGAGAGTGGTGTTCCTTGTTCTCTTCACTACATCCTCGGTGCTTTCGAAGGCTTCCAAAGTCGCTCGCTTCCATCTGCTTAACACCGGAGCTAAGTCGCTTATCATGTTGATCTCCCGACCCAGATAGACAATGTCATCAGCAAATCGAAGATGGTGCAATTCCCGAATATCAGTTTTCGCGTCCATGTTGTCTCCTCCCTATGTTCGGATAACGTTCTCGAGAGTAGCAGCAAATAATTTTACCGAAATGGTATCGCCTTGCGAAGCGTCTCTTTTGACTACTATGGTAATGGCGTTGTAGGTTCGAGATATAGTGCTTGTTAAATTTTTATATGCCTGAAGAAGAATTTTTATACACTGAATAGGGTCTCCATGGCGGTCCAGAGTTTCCGTTACTTCTTCTACCTCATTTAAGTTAAAAGCTTTCTTTAAATCGGTAAAAACTAGACAGAGAGACCTCTTGTGCTCTTGCAGTACGTCAATGAGCCTTACTACCCTTTGTATGCCTTCCATCGCACTAAGTCCTTTTAGAAGCCTTGCTCGCCCAAGTGACTCTCCTTCGCCCGGTGTTTTCCCAGCCTTTTTTGGAATAACTCGACTTAAAAGTTTGTAAAATACAGAGAGTAGGCAGATTGGGCAATATGAAGAGCCGAACCAGTGTGTTTACGAGGACTAGCAGAAGGTTTTTTAATGCACCAGATTATCGTCTTCAGGTGTGATGTTGTTCCACTCCTCACCGACGAAATGGCATGTCGGATTTCTGAAGGGAGAACGGATGGTACGACATATCTATCCTCCTCTATTTTATATGAGTGCAGGATGATGTGGCCGCCTGGGCGCCGGAGTGCAACCATCTTGCTTTTGTAATTGCTGAAGCTTCGGTGGGCTTTGCGAATGCTTTCCCCGGCCTGTGCAACTTCGAGCATAACTGCTGTTTTTCTCTCCTTAAGAACTTCTCTTGTCGCCTGCCTGCATTTGTTTTGCAAGTTCGGACGTTAGTTCGTGGTTGCCTACAGCTCGTGCGATTCCATGCTGACGTATCAGCTCGAGTTTATCTGGAGACAGACCTCTCTTGGCGACTTTCGACTAAATAGCGCTAACGTAATGATATTTAATGAGTCGATCGTACTCCTTGATGTAATCGGGGATCGGCATCTTCCAAACAGCTGCCTATTATATAAATGTCTTATAATGGTTTTAGGGATTGATTTTTTGAATTTAGTGGCTTTTTCTCTCTTTTGCGAGGAATGAAATCTTCACGAAGGAGGCGATGGTCTTATCCCGGGTAGAATTTTGGAATTACAGCGACATGGATAAGGCGAAACCTTAGTTTCACTACTATGATGTGGTCTACTTCGTTATCATACTCTACGCTGGGAGGCTCTGACGTCCAGCATACATAGTCAGGCTTCTGAAATTGCGAGTTGCCATTAGTGTCTTCGACATTATGGTAGGCTCAGACAGCCGTCCAGCCTGCTCGTTCCATTCTTATCTGTGAGTCTTAATGTAGCGTTGTTCAGAAGAAGTTCGTCTAGGTCATTATCCATATCTGCTCTATGTTTTCAACAAAAAGAAGAGAACTAAATCGAGTCTCATAGAACAAACTTCATTATTTTCAGCTGTAGATGAATTACAGATCAGATTCTAATGGTCGTCTCTATATATGTTGGTATTATTGTATGTGCTCAAGCGACATGGGTGACAACACGATGCTACCATTATCTTCGCTCACGACAGATGCTTACGGATTGCAATGACGTGACATATTCTTTTTGGGAATAGTGTTCTCATGTTCCCTATTTGCTTAAGAGATCTTATAAGTCATGAATAATCAAATCGTCGTTCTTTTTCTTTCTTACATTCCTCCCTTCAAGTGTGATCTCTCTTAACAATAATCATAAAAAGTCCTTTTCAATACCACAGCCTATATTGTAGGCATATTGTTCGAAATTCCAGTTTTTGAATGTTTATCACATTGTCGTTTTTCATTTCTTCTCGTCAAAAAAATAAAAAATCTCTTCTAAGGATAAATTTTTATTCATTTACGACCAAACAATATCCTATCTGAGCAATCTACTAGTAGCGTGTACATCTTAATGTGTCAGTGAGATTAACAACGATGTTAATCCACAAAGATCACTTTTTATTTTACAAATTCTAAATATCATTGCGATACAACGATGCGATCAACACCATTAACCGAGACGAATCAACGACATTTACCAGTTACCTAATTTTTTAATATTGCACCTCTACCACCTATTTTTGCACTGATCGTCTAGTGAATCGAGTGGAAGGTAGTATACTTCCCATTTCTACCTATCACTTCCTGCACTACGTTTGATATCCTGATGAACCCGCTGATGTCTCATGCCCATCGGTTGTCGTTCAGGCGTTAACCACATTTGTTTTTCGACATTTTCGCATTCACCACATGGGCCTCCTTTATCCTCGATCGTTGGCGTTAGTTACTACTTCTCGTACACCTCTCTCTAATGCTTCGGCTATTATATCATAAATGGACGTAAGCTGTGGTATTCAAGATGTGACGTGCTACAGTAGTTTCATGTACAATGTCAGTCAAACCTAAAAGATTTCAGTATATCCATTTGAAGAATCAGTTGAGAACATCCAGAATTAGTAGCTATCCGGAAGTGAACATGCTGACAAGACGCTACACTTCTCCAATCAAATCTCTTGTCGATTGGCAGCGGTGATAATCTATTTGCTTCCTGGAACGTATTTCTTCAGACTTCAATGAAAGATATCATTTCAAATCAGAAGCATAGTGGTTAAACGAGAATAGTATTCGTTCCATTCCCCTTGTAGAGAGCTCATTTAAATATTCAAGGAACATGAAACTATTCATAATACGTGAACACAGAGGAGCACAGAAGAACGCAGTAGGAACAAGCCGCATATGATTATCGACCAAAAAAGATAAAGAGCTCATGATAAAGAATCAAAGTTAAACTTCAATGTACGGTACAATTTGGTATTTAGTAAATACAAAAGTATCAGGTTGACTACTTCACCTGTCGTTGAACGGACAGCAATTCCGTTTAACAAATGACGGCGTTTTTCTGGCACTCATCAGCTGACGAGAGATTGTTAAAAATTGCTTTATCTATTTTTTCTCACCTTTTTGTTTTCATTGACTTATCGATTGGTTTGCCTTTTGCAAAACCTGCAACGGATAATATTGTTTCTTTGCTAATTCGAACAATGGTTTCCCTGACGTTGCACAAACGTTTTCGAAATGATTTGTGTTTTCTTTCTTCCATACCATAAGCATCTTTCAGAATACTGAATTAGACTCCGATTTCGAAAGTAGACTGATGGCATCCACGTTGAGCCGCATGGTAAATGATCACTTGTCTTAGTGCATCAGTCTCCTCTATTTATCTTGTGAGCTTTCCAATGCAGAATATCCTTGAGTTATGCGAGCATGTCGTTTTTCGTTCGTCTGGAATGTATTCCATAGACTGGAAGCTCATCAATTGTGCTGTTTATCCAGTTGTGACGTTTGACTGATGTAGAGTAGATTAGGTGACATTCAATCGCCATCCAGAAATGTTGACTACGGTAATATAGGTTAAACTACTTCAGACATTATGTTATCAAAATCTAGCACTTATAGTACTGATCAGAGTCGTGTTTGGTACCGATCTCAAATCGATCACTTATTTTTATTTTCCTGCAGGAGCGCTTTATGACTTTCAAACTGATCATACAGAATCGGCTCATTCGACACGGAAGTAACTCCTCTCTAGGGAAGTAGGGAGAAAATAAACGTAAAGAAAAAAGAAGGGCAATGGTTCTTATTGAAATTGTAGAGACTGCGAAGACAGTCATCAGTGCAGATAGGACATTAACAATTAAAGTAAGTGAAGGTAAAAAGATGAAGGACAAAGCTCTCGGCGCTGATCAATCTCTGAGGTATGCGCTATACAGTCGAATTCATTAAGCACTCATAGAGGTGATTGAATGCACATTTGGCCGAGACAATGACTCGTGGTAGCTTGCCGATGTATCGAGTAAATATTGTTATCCTCGTATACAGGTCTGGTACGAATTTGGCAAACCAGTAGGGATAGAAGGCGTGGTGAGCCTGGGGCGTGAGATTGATCCCAAGTGTACTGTAGGGCTCCATAACAACTGCGCTACATTCAACCTGTCAGGCAAGGTACAGTATTAAACCAACCACAACATACTAGTAGATGAAAATCTCAACGGTTCACGGCTTCTACCTTGATTTCATTGTTAAACACCTTGCTACGCTTTCATATTTCAGCTACAGCAAATATATTTCCTCAACTACTCTTTCCTAGATGCTCGACACAGCTTTTCTTCGATGATCTACTGTAAGCCATCCAGTTCTCATATACTTGCATCAAAGCCTTTCAAGAAATTAATAATAGTCGATGCTCACATTCTGAGTAAAATCTCTATTTGGCGTCTATCAACGAGAGTCGTTGACTGCACTACTTAATGAATACTTACATACTAAGGCATATGTCTTATCCATTAATGCCATAGTTGTTTGTCGAGTGTGATGATTCCTGGAAACACGAGAAAGCCGAGGTAGAGCGCTCTCCAGACGTTTCTACAAGCCATTGTGACATAGACGAAAATTTGCTGCTCACCGACACAGATGTTTCAAGACGACAGGGATTCCTGTAATAGAGGCCGATTCCTATGTAAATCAATCAAGAAAGCGATAACAAGCCGAATCGTTGTGATAGGAATAACGATACGAATTATATGTTAAATACTGGAATCTGTAGACCAGACATGAAACGCTTCCATTACAGCGTGTTTGCTAGAATGAAGCCTTCTGTACGTGCAACTCTACAAGCTTGGGAGATCCTGAGAATTTCTAGAATTGAAGAAGCCACTCACAGTTGTGTGCAAAGATCTTAGTTCTGTTATAGCACTTGTAATTTTAAATTCCACTAACTACATCTCGCATATTCACAACTTTACATTTTTATACAGTACTATCCCCTTCATTATATCGAACTGATCTTCGACATTATTATTACTATTATTAACGTATGTAACACAACAATGATTTTTTGCCTCACTTTTTCACTACATGGGATTCCATTACAAGTACAATTTCATTCTACGCTTATATACTTTTTTCCTTTCATTTATCTAACGATAAGAGTTCCCTAATAAAAAAAAACCTTGTTCGTAGTATGTTCAGCTCTTGATAATCCATTCACTGGTTGGGTCTGATGGAGAAAACGTTTAGTTCTAGTATTCATTGTGTTGTTGATGTTGCTCTTGCTGTTGTTGTGGTTGCCTTTCAGATAAACTCAATACATCGACTATCTATCATTCCCAACGATTTACCGCCACATCGTGGCTGGGTGTTCCTGGGTGTTGAACTGCAATGTACAGCGGGGTAGTGATCTACCCAGCAGGGTCTCCCAAGCTGAAAAGGAGGCCAACGTTTCCATCAGTAAGCCTAGCTAAGAGTAAGCCAATACCAGGGCACACCATCTTCTTGGTATCAAAGTCACATTGTCGCAAAGCTCCCTCTGATCCACAAGGATGGCGACTGCCTGTCGTGGCGACGACCAGGGGCAGACTTTCGCCAGGCTGTCCGCGAGATTCCAGGGAAACAATGGCTTAATCGAGAAATCCCCGAAAATGGTGATTATACTGGGGCCCGCCCAACTAGTGAAGACGGGCCGTTCAAGTCTCAAGTATCAGGTATCTATCATTAGTTCTACTTAGTGATCTGACAATAATGATAGGAACGTCTGGAAAAATGCAATATAATGAGTTCGAGCTCTGATTTGGACGAAATAAATGAAGTAGAGAATCTACTATCAACTTGAACAGTTGGTTGGACTGAGATTCTATTCACATATGCAGTCACAGTAAGAAGAGAAGAAAAATTAAGGCAGAACAAAATTAAAATACTGAACCATACATTATCAATCAATGTCTTCTCATTTTCTCCTAGTCCTTCTAGAAAGGGCTACCAGATAGGTGAAATGGTAAAGTGAGTCACTAGGCTAAACTGCCACTATCTGAGTAGCCTTAGCGAAGAAGAGTCTGTACTTCATCATATTTACTTTTTATTACCCGAACTCCTATTTGTTTGGCAAAATTTTCCTTCGGATTCGAAGCAGCTAGGTTAAGCTCGCTCTCCATTTGCGATTAAGGATAGTCGACAGCTCTGCATGATTGGAAGACATCATTGCCATCCTTCCAATAAACTTCTTTTCAGACAATGGTGACTGCCGGCACTAGTTTATTCTTAGAACATCAACGCAGCTGAAATGTGAAGCATCGGGCTCTAGATCACAACTGGCCATCTAAGAAAATATTCAGCGAAAATTCGATGACAAATTATTCTGTTAGCGGTGAGTAGGTTGTTGTACGGAGACATTGCATTTCATTCCCAGCTGACCAGGACGTCTCCCTCGATTGAAATTGGTTTAAAAATTTAATCCTTACGTAGCCTCGTGTTTCAGTAGTAGGACACCTCCTTTTCATCATTCGTGCTGTCCCTACGTAATTTATACTTCACGGATATTCTCCTTTCCAAATAGGTTACCGCAACTCATTGCCACAAGCAATGATGGAGCCTCGTCGTTCAGAGGAAAGGAAATCAGCTGCAATTCTTTACACTAGTTTACTCTTGACTAACTTTCGGACAAAATCGTACAGAGATATTTACAAAACTCCGGACCGCAGGTGTCTGCAGTAGGGAACGAAAGCGCTATTGTCCTTTCCAGGGAGTAACGCGTTCACCACCACCC